TCCTCACAAAATCTCCCACCATTTCAACTGACAACCCATTCTCTTTCCTCAGATGTATAAATACCCTCCATAAAGAACCCCTTTAAATCCCTTTCACCACACAATGTTAGCACATTTATTTGTTTAAAGCATTAACCATTACTGTGCCCCCCCCGCCCCCCCATCATACTGTGAACATCAGCAGCTGCTTAACCTCCCTGGAGGGCTAACCATCCACGCCGAGCTCAAGCACTATCCAAGTTCACAGTGTCATGTGTTTTGGCTCTTTAACAATAAAAAGTTAAGCTGTCACAAACTATCACTGTTCATCCAGTCCCACACAGACGTTTTTCTCTACTTAAAAGAATCTCTTACACATGCTGAAAACCTCAAATTCACATAAACACAATAACGACAAAAATATCACAATTGTGATGGGGCCTTAAATTATGGATGGATGTTTAAAGCATTTCCTCATACATGTAAATCTTGTTTTTATTGTCCTTTCGCAAAACTCTTACCAGACTAATTATCAGGTGATGGCAGCAGGGTTCGTGAACTTTGCAGACCACTTGTAACACAGTTCCTCAATCAGCTGCATTTCATTTCCTTATCCCAGGGGCAACCCTCTAGAGAATGGTTAATGGTTAAAAGCAAGATAAATGTGCTAGACATCTAAGGTCATGTAGCACTATAGTTAATGTTAGTGAAAGGTGTTTGAGTTAGTGGTTAGTTGTCTAAGCTGGGCAAAGGAATTGGTGAGTTAAAGGGTTAAGGTCGGGTGTTAGATTAGATAAAGGGTATGTATGCGTTTGAGGAAAGAGAACAGGTTGTTGATGCAGAAAGTGTGGGATTCTGTAAGGATGTCTGATAGGTTGGGAGGTCGGTGAAGGGAGGATAGGTGGGGGAAAGCAGAGGTACGGGCTGCTTCAAAACGTGGGCACGACAATAGGATGTGTACGATTGAAAGGGGAACATTACATAAGGAACATAGGGGTGGATCAGATTGTGACATCAGATAGGAGTGTGTTAGACGGGTGTGGCCAATGCGTAAGCGGGCGAGAGCAGTCTCCCAACGTCTGTTCCGATGAAATGGAGCTGACCAGGAGGAGATTGATAGTTTTACAGAATGTAATTTATTAGTGTGGAGGCTTGACCAGAAAAATTGCCATCGTTTATACAAGAAGGTCTTAAAGTGTGGGTAATAATCCGTGGCTGGGATACGTGAGAAGCGTGGTTAGTATGATGTGGACATAGCAGCGTGGCGTGCTAGTGTATCTGCCTGTTCATTGCCGGGGATTCCAACATGGCTGGGCACCCAGCAAAATTTGATTGTTTTGTGGCGTGTGGACAGGTAGAACAACCAGTTCTGGATCTTACAAACAAGGGGGTTGGTGGTGTGTATTGACTTTATGAGAGTTAATGAGCTACGGGAGTCAGTAAAAATTGTAAAAGAGGAAGAGGAGAGTGAGTATATGTGTTTTAGGGCAAAAAGGAGTGCATACAGTTCAGTAGTAAGGACACTGGATTCAGGAGGAAGGGAGTATTTGAAAGTACGAGTTGGGAATATTACTGCAAAACCAGCACCAGAGGTGGATTTGGAGCCATCAGTATATACGTGTATACTAGAGGAATGGGTGGAGACATGGTCAAGGAAATGGATGAGAAGGACAGTAGGAGGAATATTTGATTTTGGTGGGTCGGGGAAAACAGAAGAGCAAATATGGGGGTGAGGTATAAGCCATGGAGGGACGGAATGGACAGAGAACGGGAGAGGTTGGAGATGGGGGAAAGGGGAATGGGAGAGGAGGGTATCCATGCGAGTGGAGAAAGGAGTAGGTAAGCGTGGAGATGAAGCTAAGGTAGGAAGTAGGGATTGTGGGATAGTTAGTTTAGTGAGGGGAAGTTGGTGGAAACGAACATAACATCGGAGTGAGAGCAGGGCACGACGTCTAGATAGAGATGGTATGCCTGATTCAGTATACAGGCTCTCAACTGGAGAGGAGCGGAAGGCGCCTAGTGCTAAGCGAAGTGCTTTAGTGCAATCAGAATTCCACCATGGAACACATTTAGAGGTATATGGTCTTGAGGTTCGAGGGATAGCTGTATGTGCAGCTCTTAAGACTGTAGTTGTGAAACATTGTATCATTTCTGAAATGGAGGTGAGGGAGGATGGAGGGGTATGAATAGCAGAGAGTGAAGTGAAAGTATGCCAGTCGGCTCTATCAAAGCACCAGCATGGGGAGTTAGGAAGTGGTACGTATGAAGTAGGAGAAAGGAGAACTGGAAAGTGGTCACTATAGGGAAAGTGGTCTAAGACTGACCAGTGGAAATCTATATGAAGAGAAGGGGAGCATAGAGAGAGGTCAATGCATGAAAAAGATTGCGTGCGTGTATCAAAGTGTGTGGGGCGATCTGAATTTAGAATAGTAAGGTCAGCTGTGGAGAGGAAGCGCTCTAGAGATCGGCCTCGGGAGTTGGTAATAGAATCACCCCAAAGAGTGTGGCGGCAGTTAAAGTCGCCTACTATGAGGAAAGGTGGTTGAAGTTGGGAAATTAGATTTTCAAAAGCAACAAAGTCAATGGGGTGGGAAGGGGAGAAGTAGACTGAAATCACTGTGATCCAACGATGAAGGAAGATACGAATAACTGTACAAGGGACATTGGTTTGAAAGGGTGGTGTGACATAAGGTGTTTTCTGATTGATAAGTATAGACGAGACATAAAGGGAATGTGGGGAAGAGACAAAATGATAATTGGGGATTGGTATTGGAGGATGTGTAAGAAAGGTTTCTTGAAGGCATACAATAGATGGGTTATAAGAGGAAAGGATATGACGAAGGTCAGGTCTGTGGGAGCGGAAACCGCGAATATTCCAATGAAGGATAGTTATACTTTCGTTGATTTAGTGATATAGATTGCAGTACGTGTTGGAGACTTTGAGGGGGAATCAGCTAGAGGGTGGGATAAGGACTGAGAGGTTTGAGATGGGAGAGATGTGGGAGTTGGTGTTCTATCAGGAGGGGTATTAGGAGATGGAGGGTCTGAGGAAGGGGATACTTGTGACATAAGGGATTCACGTGTGTATCCAGGAGGGAGTGGAAGGGATAGAGGGGATGGTGGGAGGGTTAATGTGGGCTGGGTTGGGGTCGGGGTCGGGGGGGATGGGCTGTGTTGGGAGGGGGTAGGAGGATAGGGTGTAGGGGGGGTGGAACGTTTGTTCTGTCTGTTATGGGGAGTGCGAGGAGGGAGAGGGGAAGGTGTTGGGGTTGTAGTGGTGATTGGAGTATCTGTATTAGAGATTGGAGTTTCTGGATTTAGGATGGCAAAAGAATTAGACTGGGGAAGGTAGGAGGTAGAAGTGGGGGGGGTTAGATGTAGGAGGGGTGGGTTTAGGAGAAGTGTTAGAATGAGCAGTATTACTGGAGTTTGAATTTGAGAGTTGCTACCTCAGATTCAAATTTGTAGGTGGGACAGCCCCTATAAAATACATTATGGGGGCCGCCACAGTTGGCACATGTGCGTGATTGTGCAGAGCAGTTAGATCGGGTATGGCCAGGTTGGGCACATAATGGGCATCTGGCTGTGGAACGGCAGTGTTTGGCTGGGTGTCCTAGACGCCAACAATTTTGGCACTGACGTGGAGGAGGTTGGTATGGACGAACAGGGAGGGATTCTCCTCCTATGTAGACGTTAAAGGGAAGGTCATGTCTGCGGAAGGTAATTTTGGCTATGTTAGTGGGTTTCTTTCGATGACCTCTGGGGGGGATTGAGTAGCATTGTACTGATGTTGCATCGTAGTCTGTGAGACAGGCAAGTAGATCTTCTCCACAATCTGACCAATCTTTGTCATAGATTGGGCAATTTGCTGGTGAGATTGAGACTGTTCCGGTGCAAGTATTGAGGGTTGGATGGGGTTCTGCTAGGATGGGGTTACCATATTGGTCAGTTAGTTTTGTTAGTGCTATGGCTTGGTTTTCGGATGTTACTGTTACAAGACGGGAGCGGTCGGGTCGGCTACGGAAAGAGACTTTACCTACTTGTTTTTGGAGGCATTGTTGGAAGAGAAGGGTGTTGTCAGAGTAGGGAGCTGTGGGAGGGATCACGAAAAATCGGTCCCATTGGCTGCACTGAAGAGAGTATTCAAGATTGTTTTAGAGATAGGGGTGGTAGAAGGGCGAGGGCGTGACGAAGATGGAGTAGTGTTGATAGAGGTAGTGTTATGGAGAGGTGGGCTATAAGGCTGTAAGGTATTAATAAGGGAGGATGGGGTGGTTGATGTTGGAGGTTGTGGGGGTAGAGGTGTTGAAGTTGGGTATGCTGGGAGAGTGGAAATGTTCCTTGAGGGTTGATTATTGGCTACTGTACTAGTAGGCATTGGTGAAGGGGTAGTTATTGCAGTGTTCGGAGCCGTGGTCAAAGGAGAGCCTGGGGTCGGGGAATCAGGTGGGTTTACTTCATTGGGGCTATTTGATAAAGGGGCAAGCCTCATTGCCCCTAACAGTGGAGATATATTTTCATTACTGGCCATGGGAAGCCTGGATTATGTTGGGGATAAAAACAGTCCACCCCTCAGGGTCCCCTTGAGGGGTAAGGGCTAGATAACTAAATCAGGGGAATACCGTGCCCATGGCTCCCTCAGGCCGTTCAGGACTGGCACAAAGTCAGCCTTTCATCCTTTCAGCACGGCTCTCACACCTTAGGAGGTGGATAGCAGAAGGGTTTGGTGAAGGGACAGAAACAAAAGTGGGAAGGGAAAAAAAAAGACCATGCATAATTAGTTGAGTCGAGGGCTGAGTCCCAAGGTTGGGGAGTTCCCCATCATTGGGTCCCAGTCTCCGCCTCCTAAGCCCCCCCACGGCAACAACGGGCAAGGGATTGGGGGGGAACCCTCTAGAGAATGCACTCCCACATAATGAACACCCATGTTTATTTGGTCTGTAAATTAATGTTTGTGTTGAGGCTAAATCTTCCCTGTGTTGACCGCATTTGTTTGTTTAGGATTTTATAATAACAAGAAAAAATTATAACTGCTATATTTATATGGATATCACACAATGAGTTAGATAATTAAATTGCAATAATTACCAAATCATTATGTACAACCTTTTAATTTACATAGTTATATAATATAACACAGGCACATGTCCAAAGTGGATCAAACCCACCCACTATGGTATATAGAAACAAATTATTTTTTTACAAAACTTAGCAGAATAATACAACACACTTCTAATTCCCTTGCTTTTGAAAAAAAAAAAAATGTTAAAGATAAAATAGTAATGTTTGCATAAAATTCAGTAAATGATATTAAGTTCAGGAAGAAAACCAATAACTAATGAAACTTTGATTGGGAAAACTTGAGTGTGTACAGTACTGAGAATCAAAATAATTAGCAGATTTTAAAAATAATTCAAAATTAGAAAGGAGAGGAAAGAAATGTTCATTCTGACATGGAATACCATAATAATACTAAAGCAAAGAATGTTCGAAGTTAAGTAACCAAAAGAAGGCCTGGAAGGAAAAGCAAAATTAATCAGGTCCACTAATAGCATAACATGTCTACATGTTTACATGAAAAGCAAAAGATTTCTTTTCTTTTAGACTGGTTGTAAACTATGGCAACAATTCTTACCCAAACCTTACATAAACAGATCTATGGCACCCCAGTACCTTATTTTACACTGTACATTGTACATTGCATCTGCTCATGCCTTGTGTGCATGTGTTTTATAAACACTGACATGTGTTAATGTTCCTTCTAGGAACTCTCCATCGGACCCCTAAGCTCAGTCTAGCTTTGGTCTAATGTACGAACATATTTTGACTTTTAAAT